ACTTCTTGTTACACCTGATTCAGAATGGGACCAGTGTAGGCTGATATGTCTAAGTAGGGGATGAGGGATTGAATTTGATCATGGAAGCTGTTTCATACATCTATGCTCTGGGGACTGTAAGATTACGGTATCCATTATTTCCTCTGAAAATACAGATAAAGCATTTTTTTTTAACTAAAGTTCCTATTTAACATTTTCTAAAATGAATGATTCACGGTCAATATTGCTGATTTAAATAAGACAAAATTCTAGTCTTTGAAAGGCATTTAGAAGTGATACACATAAGGAAGAGAATTTATGGATGTCAACTTCTTTATTATGAGGAATATGTTTCGGAGTATATACTTACTCCTTCATTCACCAAAACGTTCCTCATAAAAAGGAAATTGACATCCATAAATTCTCTTTCCCATGTTCTAGTTGACGACAGCAGCACCTAACAACTCGGAACCCTCGTACCTGGGCCTTGAAGTCCCTGCAAATGAGGCTCTCTTTGAAATCACATGATAACAGTTTGAGAGCACAGCACTTTTAGGACTTAGCGAACAAACAGCAATTACTGTTGTGAAATATCCAATAATTTTGATTTATCTAGGGAGACGCACTTGAGAGGCCTGTCAGACAGGAGAAAACTGCATTTGTTAAATCCATCTGACCAAACTCAGTAGACAATACCCAACCAAAACCGAAGGACTTTTTCCTAAAAAAGTCATTTCTCCAGAACAAACTAAGTTCATCAAAGCATTGCACAGGATGGCTTTGACATTTTACGAAAATAATTTACTTTGGAGGTCCCCGGTCCACTGCTCAGACAGTGCTAATCAGCTTATCGTAAACTAAATGTGTCTCGTAAAAACATTGGCGAGTTTCTCAGTGGAAATTGCCATCTCCAGTACAGAAAACTCATCCATGGTAGAGATGGGGAGTGGGAACCGTTTAAAGTAGACACACGCATTAGACATACACCTAATCAGTACATCAGGATAACCTTTTAACAATCACGGAAGGGACAGTATCACTTCTTGTGCATTTGTCACCCCCAACAAGACATAGCCCCTCCCTTGGGAACAAAAAATTGGTCTGAGTAATCTAAAGAAGACATACAAATTCTCGTACAATAATTGAGAAAGTGTGCTGTCGATGCAATGACGCAAGTTGTGACCTTGGCCTTTCAGCTGCTTGTCAAGAAATTAATCGGCATCTGTCCATGAGGTTGTCCAATAATAAGAGCCGTCGGTCATATGGTAATGACACAGACCTGGTCACTTTAGACTCGACAGAGTCAAGTAATGAGAATGGTAAACTACTTCCAGTATGGCTTAATCTCTTTCAGGGAAGTATGTCTTTCAAACATCACTTGATCTCACATGACACAGGAAGACGTTCTTGAGGCATTAATATTGCCAGAAACTGTTTTTTGGTACAATGTATTTTCTCGACAACTGATGGGGTGTAGTATGGAGTTTGTTTGTTTGTTTGTTTGTTTGTTTGTTTGTTGTTTAACGCCATACTCAGCAATATTCCAGCTATGTGAATATATTTACTCCTTGAATATTGGCTGTCACAAGCTTAGCTAACTTGACCAAAATTTATGTCATTAGACTCGGGCTACAAAATTTTCACTCCCTTGACTTGATCTTCTGACCAATGCCCCTGCTGGGATCTGGGATAGGCTGGGTTCATAGCAACCTTACATGGCTTAAATCGGTGGAGATTCTGGGTAAGAATTGGTCCCCAGCAACACACTCTGGTCGTAAGATATGACCAAATGGATCGGGTGGTCAGTCTTGGTGATTTGGTTGAGTGGGTGTCCTCGTACCCTGATGGTGTGGATCGTTGCTTACAATATTCAGCATTAGAAATTGGCACTAGTCCTATAGATCTTGCAAAAGTGCCCAATATTTAAGATATCATAGAAGGAGTAGAAATTAGACATTTTAAAGTTTCCTTTTCTGTTGTTTAACGCCGCACTCAGCAATATTCCAGCTATACGACGGCGGTCTGTAAATAATATCGTCTGGACCAGACAATCCAGTGATTGACATCATGAGCATCGATCTATGCAATTGGAATTCAATGACATGCATCAAACAAGTCAGCAAGCCTGACCACCCAATCCTGATAGTTGCCTCTTACGACAAGCATAGTCGCCTTTTTACGGCACGCATGGATTGGTGAAGACCCATTCTACCCCGCATCTTCACGGGTCGCCATTTTTAAGGTTTTGCTACATGTTATCATTACAAGGACTAGTAGACTAATACATGGAAACGGGGAGATACAACACCATACATGGAAATAGGTGATATAACACCATACATGGAAATAGGCGATATAACACCATACATGGAAATAGGGGATATAATGCTATTTATTGAAACAGGTGTGATACAATGCAATACAAGGAAACAGGTATGATATAAAGCCATACATGGAAATGGGCGAAATAACATCATACATGACGCCATACATGGATATATATTGCCTTAAAGCTGGCTTGTACACCTCTGACCTTTAAAGCTATACCTGCAATTCAACACTCCTCTCATTTACTTTAAATACATCTACATACTGAGGCAGGCTATTTTATTTCAGTGACATTGAATGTGATGAGAGACTTGTGTGGTCAGGTGACATGACATCACAGCTCCAAATCAATGGGGCACAACACACACAGCACTGGCATGTTAAATGTCATATCACTCACGTTGCAGGAGATAACGTTTTACCACATGGCTACAAATAGGATTCCAGTTAAAACCTAGTGATACAATTTTAAACCGTAATCAAATAACTATTCCGTTATGTTTCTGCAAGTCTGTGGAGGAATTGTAATTGAGTTAGGCTCCTTCCACATGAATAAAACCGAGCTGGTGCTGACCATGTTGCCCCGACTCAGCCATTAGGATCTCAATCAGCTCCATCCACTGTTGTTTATGACTAGTTTGCCATCGTTGTTTATGAACATTTCTCCAGTGTTGTATCTGACTAGTTCTCCGGTGTTGTTTATGGCAAGTTCTCCAGTGTTGTATGTGACTAGTTCTCCAGTGTTGTTTATGGCTAGTTCTCCAGTGTTTAAGACTAGTTCTCTGTGTTGTTTAAGACTAGTTCTCTGTGTTGTTTAAGACTAGTTCTCTGTGTTGTTTATGGCTAGTTCTCCAGTGTTGTATCTGACTAGTTCTCCGGTGTTGTTTATGGCAAGTTCTCCAGTGTTGTATGTGACTAGTTCTCCAGTGTTGTTTATGGCTAGTTCTCCAGTGTTTAAGACTAGTTCTCTGTGTTGTTAAAGACTAGTTCTCTGTGTTGTTTATGGCTAATTATCCAGTGTTGTTTATGGCTAGTTATCCAGTGTTGTTTATGGCAAGTTCTCCAGTGTTGTTTATGGCAAGTTCTCCAGTGTTGTTTATGGCAAGTTCTCTAGTGTTGTTTATGCCTAGTTCTCCACTGTTGTTTATGGCTAGTTCTCTGTGTTGTTTAAGACTAGTTCTCTGTGTTGTTTATGGCTAGTTATCCAGTGTTGTTTATGGCTAGTTATCCAGTGTTGTTTATGGCAAGTTCTCCAGTGTTGTTTATGGCAAGTTCTCCAGTGTTGTTTATGGCTAGTTCTCTAGTGTTGTTTATGCCTAGTTCTCGACTGTTGTTTAAGACTAGTTCTCTGTGTTGTTTAAGACTAGTTCTCTGTGTTGTTTATGGCTAGTTATCCAGTGTTGTTTATGGCTAGTTATCCAGTGTTGTTTATGGCAAGTTCTCCAGTGTTGTTTATGGCAAGTTCTCCAGTGTTGTATATGGCAAGTTCTCCAGTGTTGTTTATGGCAAGTTCTCCAGTGTTGTTTATGGCTAGTTCTCCAGTGTTGTTTATGGCTAGTTCTCTAGTGTTGTTTATGCCTAGTTCTCCACTGTTGTTTATGGCTAGTTATACAATGTTGTTTATGGCTAGTTATACAGTATTATATATAAACAGTTTTCTTGTGTTGCATAACGTAGAACTAGTTCATCAGTATTTGCTTTTTTGCCGTAATACAAAGTTTCACGTTTTTACAGGATATGTGTTGAGGGATCCTGCCGAAAGTTTGGTTCCATAAAACTTCCAAACAAGACACATAGTTCATGGCACCTTGGTGTGGCATATTTCTGTGTCTTGTGCCATGTTCACAATGGCTCATTTAGAGAATATCTACAAGCAATCACCGATGTTGTGAGCCTTGGTGAGGGAATTTCAACATCATCATTCCATATTTTACTCAGTCTTTTCTCGTTGAGAAAGTGAAGAACAAAAAGTGTTTCCTGAGCACATGGGAGAATAATTTTAGTCAATCAATTGTTGGAATGTATGAACAGTGGATGTCATTGTCTTCATTTATTTCATGGCGCTACTGTTCGCTTTGCAAACAATGTAAACAATGGAACAACATGAACAATGGCATGAAAGTGTGTGAATTAGCCAATCCGCCAGTGTTACCACTGGCTCGTGAAACTGCCAGTTCTGTTGGACTGATAACTCTAAAAATTTATTTGCCTCCACAGGGACTGGCAGTCACATGAATTACCAGTCCAAGCCTAATTTTATGGGTAGAAAACTGGTAAATACCGGTAAATGGGAACACTGCAATCCGCATGAAGAAGAGTGAGAATGATTGAGGGATTGAGTTGGGTTTTAAATGCCACTTTTAACAGTATTCAGTTATATCACTGCATGTCAGCTTAATGTGTGAGGAAAGCCCAAAGTGATACAGGTCTCCGACGTTTACCACTTTGATGAAACCCAGGACAAACCTAGAAACAAAATCAGAGCGAACTAGGTCGAACCCATAATCATAAGTCTTGGTCAAACCCATGGGAGGTAACTCTGCACAACTAATTGTGGTGCCTCAGACGACTTGGCCACCTGTGCCCCCAGCATGTAGAAAAACTTGTAATAGTGAAAATTACGGAACTTAATTGCACCAATATCCTTGCCTGTTTGAGCAATATAAAACATTATTATAAGAAACATTACATACCTGGGCATAAGGGTCTGTTCTGTAGATCCCAGGGTAAGGGTGTGTACCTGATCCCATCCCAGCGTATCGGGGTGCTGACTGTTCCTGGGGGTAGGCATACGCTCCCTGGGTGCTGCTGGGCCCCCCACGCTGTATGTGGTGGGGGGACGAGGGGCGGACACGCTTGTATGGGGACGAGGCATCATGGGGAGGAGGCCCACTTAACCCCCTGCAACGAAAAAGAATATTGTGTCAAGTAGGAACTTATTAACAAGGGATTAATCTAGGATTTGAATTTAATGCCTTTGGAAGGCAAAGTGGGAAAACAAGTCATTAGTCTTGGTTTTTAAAAAATTCTTATTGTCTGGAACTAAGAGACTGCATTCAATGCAATGACTCAAAACTAAGTTTTGTTTGTTTATTTGTTGTTTAACGCCGCATTCAGCAATAGTCCAGCTATATGACGGCGGTCTGAAAATAATCGAGTCTGGACCAGACAATCCAGTGACTGACATCATGAGCATCGATCCACGCTATTGGGATCGATAACATGCATCATCCAAGTCAGCGAGCCTAACCACCCAAACCCGTTAGTCACCTTTTACGACAAGCATAGTCGCCTTTTACGGCAAGCATGGATTGCTGAAGACCTATTCTAACCCTATACCATTACTGGTCCTGTTAACAGTGATAACATTAGTTGAATACTACGAGTTGGGAAATGTTTTATTCCAAGTTTAGAATATATATAAATTTGTTGCAGACTTGGAGCTAAATATCGGCCTCTGAGCAGGTGTCGATATAAATAACATTTATTACAGTTGAAATTCATCCTGTTTGACAGATACCATTGTTATGAAGCAGTCAATCCAACTGAGACCCCAATATCACTCAGACATGGGAAGTCATTTTTGCATTACATCTGTAACCATGGCAACACCCTTGTCATGGTAACATTATCCAAATCAAGGTCTTACAACAGCCTATTTCCATGGCTGAGGAGAAGTTTTTATAAAAGAGAAATTCCCGCTTTTATGATAAACCTAAGTATGAAAAGTACAACAGTTTTCAGACATATTATGGCATTATTTGGGATTTTAATTAAAAGCCTGTGGCAAGAAAATTTTGAAAAAAAAAAAAATTGTACAAAATTGGGAAAAGTGTAAGACCTTATTTTTTAATCTTTTTTAAGAAATTGCATTGACATCAGAATCAATATGAATGCCTCTTTCTCCTGTTATCAATGAATAAATAAAACACAGGTAAGCCAAGCAAAGCTAAAACATTAGTCACAATGACATACCACTCAAAAGAAGTTAAGGGCCACTTGATTCTTTCACATTACCTTAGTTAATCATGCCATGGCAGATTCCCTATAGCCAAATGAAAGAGTTGGGTGCTTCTTAACATCTTAGAGTAGAATAATAACCCTGGATTGTGATTGGTTATTCCATCTGTGGAGTTTAACCAACAATGCTGAAGACATGTGCGAAACATGGGACTCGGAGAGCACCTTGTAAATGTCTTAAATTAGAGTGTTCACTGCAAGTGCTTCCTATGTGTCCTTGAGGCTTCTAGCTGTAGACAGCATAAACAAGGGCAATGTTGTCTAGTTCTCAACATGTACCAAGCTCAGATAAATCAATGTCATGCAATTTCTTAAAGAAATGCCTCCAAGCTCACTTTAAAAATGAAATAAAAATTAGGATCGAAAACCCAAAATGACTTTTCATTGTTCCGTTTATAGAACCTTCAGTGATGTTTTTGTCCTAACCATCCATGTTGGGTTGGAGCAAATAAATGATAAATAAGGAAAATAGGCTGCCTTTTCTCTTTCATAATCATTTAAAACTGCTTGTCTCCTTATATTGTCAACATCCGCAGCTAGACTTAATCTAATCAATACCTTTTACAACAACACTCCGATCTTTTTCACTCAAGATGCAGAAGAGATAAGATGTTGGAACAGAGACACAGTGGTTAAATCATCTGGGTGCAAAACCTAGGTATGTCATAGACTCATACAACACTGATTCAGCAAAAATAAAGCTCAGACTTTATTGCAATAAACAAGGGATTTGTTTGTTGTTTTAAGCCACACTCAGCAATATTCAAGCTATATGACAGCAGTATGTAAATAATTGTGTCTGGATCAGACAATCCAGTGATTGACATCATGAGCATCGATCCACGCAATAGGGATATGATGACACGCATCTATCAAGTCAGGGAGCCTGACCACCCAATCCAGTTAGTCGCCTCTTGCAACAAGCACAGTCGCCTTTTACGGCAAGTATGGGTTGCTGAAGATCTATTCTACCCCGGATCTTCACTGGGATATGATAACATGAATCCTCCAAGACACCAAGCCTGACCACCGGATCCATTCAGTTTCCTCAAACAACAGGCATAATTTGCTGGAGACCCATTTTATCCAGAAACCCACTGTAAATATTCAAGTCACTGGAAAAACCAGTGATTGAAAGTACCGTATTTGACATAATAAGCGCCCAGGGCACTCTCAAAATTAGAAATAGGGGGCTCTTATTAGAATATTATTTTGGTGAAAAAAAACAGAGTTGAAAGATAAGTTTCGTGGTTTATGCTGACAGCCTGAGATGTTTATATACGACTGATATATTTTTCCAGAATTTAATTGTCCATAATTAAGGGTGCATATAACACACGAGTGCGTAATAAATAAGTCTTTTGTACATTGATCAATCGGAAGGGGTGCTAATTGGGATTGTTCACTAGCCAATATATCAGCAAATATCTCTGTGGGCGCATATTCGAGAGGGGCGCTTATTACGTCGAATATGGTATTAGCAACAACTCACACCGTCAGGTAAGAGTCACCTAGCCTGACCACCTGATCCATGAAGTCACGTCACTTCATACAACAAGCACAGACCCGTGAGTTTGGGATAGAATAGGTCATCCTCAACCCATTCTTGCCAGAAAAAAGGCGACTATGTTTGTCATAAGAGACAACTAATGGGATCAGATGGTCAGGTTCACTGACTTGGTTGATGCATGTCATCGTATCCCAATTTTGTGGATTGATGTGGATGATGTTAATCACTGGTTTGTCTGGTCCAGATTTGATTATTTACCGACCATCGTCATATAGCTGGAATATTGCTGAGTGTGGCGTTAAACAACAAACAAACAAACAAGCATACAGCTGCTGGGGACCTATTCTAACCCGGAATCCACATGGGGTCAACCTCCAAGGAGACATGGCTTCATATTTCTGTGAGGAGGTCCACAGAGGTCAGAGTGACCGCAGGACCTCGTCTCCCCTCCTCAGTGGGGACGGATCAATGGCAGTATAATAGCATCAATCTAAACATGCCTCCTCTGCCGCCACAGAGATCTGTCTTTGTGGTCTTAGCTGACTTTCAGCAGTGGCCAGGTCAGCCCAATCCTAAACTCCACAACATAGACGGGAGTCACAACTTCTGCATTATTCAGACCTATAGACACATGAACAGCTGGTCGTCTGGTCTCAAATTTGGATCCCGGGGTTGCAAATTTGCATATAAATTGTGTGGTTACACAGATTGTAGGTTAATGTCAACATTGATAGCTGTGAAGAGATGTTGGTAAATAAAAACAAGGATATCTATTATACATATTGTAAATGATATGATATACATGATATACCAGCATGATAATATTTGAGTGAGTTGCTACACTGTCACCAAGCAGTCCATGAGTTGCTACACTGTCACCAAGCAGTCCATGAGTTGCTACACTGTCACCAAGCAGTCCATGAGTTGCTACACTGTTACCATGCAGTCCATGAGTTGCTACACTGTCAACAAGCAGTCCATGAGTGGCTACACTGTTACCATGCAGTCCATGAGTTGCTACACTGTCACCAAGCAGTCCATGAGTTGCTACACTGTCACCAAGCAGTCCATGAGTTGCTACACTGTCACCATGCAGTCCATGAGTTGCTACACTGTCACCATGCAGTCCATGAGTTGCTACACTGTCACCATGCAGTCCATGAGTTGCTACACTGTCACCATGCAGTCCATGAGTTGCTACACTGTCACCAAGCAGTCCATGAGTTGCTACACTGTCACCAAGCAGTCCATGAGTTGCTACACGGTTACCATGCAGTCCATGAGTTGCTACACTGTCACCAAGCAGTCCATGAGTTGCTACACTGTCACCATGCAGTCCATGAGTTGCTACACTGTCACCATGCAGTCCATGAGTTGCTTCACTGTCACCAAGCAGTCCATGAGTTGCTACACTGTCACCAAGCAGTCCATGAGTTGCTACACTGTTACCATGCAGTCCATGAGTTGCTACACTGTCACCAAGCAGTCCATGAGTTGCTACACTGTCACCATGCAGTCCATGAGTTGCTACACTGTCACCAAGCAGTCCATGAGTTGCTACTGTCACCAAGCAGTCCATGACTTGCAACAAGCACATTTATACTGACCAATTACATGGGAAATCTATACAAGGCTGCACAGCCTTCAGATACATACAAACCTAATCTATTGATTTGCATCCTATGTATAGAAGTCATTTCCAGTTGTAAACTGACAAACATGTTAATCTTGTAGGCTTCATATTACTAATTATCTGCTGACAGAGCACAATCATTATATGACTTCTAATTGGGTATTTTTCCAATGTAATGTTCTGCTACATCATGAGCTAATTCTGTTGAGACAAATCGTATGTTTCATTTATTCTCATGGTAATATTGGAATCATCAGTGTTTGAAATTAAGAGATGGTGGGGATCAGGTAGAGGATGGAATGGGTTAGGTAGAGGATGGAATGGGTTAGGTAGAGGATGGAATGGGTTAGGTAGAGGATGGAATGGGTTAGGTAGAGGATGGGATGGGTCAGGTAGAGGATGGAATGGGTTAGGTAGAGGATGGGATGGGTTAGGTAGAGGATGGGATGGGATGGAATGGGTTAGGTAGAGGATGGGATGGGTTAGGTAGAGGATGGAATGGGTTAGGTAGAGGATGGGATGGGTTAGGTAGAGGATGGAATGGGTTAGGTAGAGGATGGGATGGGTTAGGTAGAGGATGGGATGGGTTAGGTAGAGGATGGAATGGGTTAGGTAGAGGATGGGATGGGTTAGGTAGAGGATGGGATGGGTTAGGTAGAGGATGGGATGGGATGGGGAAGGTGGGGGAGAAGAGGTCCTCAGATCCTTTAGCTTTCTTCTATGTTATTTGAATGTAGT